CCTAAGCCTCCCAAGTAGCTGGGATTACAGGTGCCTGCCACAATGCCCAGCTATTTTTTGTTGCAGTTTGGCCGGGGCTGGGTTTGAACCCACCACCCTTGGTATATGGGGCTGGCACCCTACCCACTGAGTCATAGGCACTGCCTTCCAATGAGCTTTTTTGTACACTATTTTATTTTGAGACTAAGTCTCACTATGTCACCCTGGGTAGAGTGCCATGGAGTCACAGCTCACAGCAACCTCAAACTCTTCGACTTAAGCGATTCCCTTGCCTCAGCCTCCCAAGTAGCTGGGATTACAAGTGCATGTTACCACACGTGGCATGGAGTCTCAATCTTGCTCAAGCTGGTCTTGAACTCCTGGCTTCACGTGGTACTTACAAAGTGCTAGGAGTACAGGCATGAGCCACTATGCCTGACCCCCATTCTTGAATATAATTAACAAGTAAAAAAAAATTTTTTTTTTTTTTTGAGACAGAGTCTCATTATGTTGCCCTTGGTAGAGTACTGTGGCATCACAGCTCACAGCAACCTCAAACTCTTGGGCGTAAGTGATTCTCCTACCTCAGCCTCCCAAGTAGCTGGGACCATAGGCGCCCACCACAACGCCTGGCTTTGCGGCTATTTTTTGGTTGTAGTTGTCGTTGTTTGGCCTGGGCTGGGTTCGAACCTGCCAGCCTTGGTGTATGTGGCTGGCGCCCTACATTCTGAGCTACAGGTGCTGAGTCTCCAACAAATAAAAAATTAATAGACATATAAGGAAAGCCTCTAATATGAAAGAGAGTGAAAAATAGAAAAAAAATAAGCGACTCAGAGAAAACATCTGTACACCAGAAGAAAAACTTAAAAAACAATCAATGATATTCTCAGACAAAACCTGTGGGTAAAGAAAGTACTAGATACTTTTAAGAAAAGTCCTTAGAAATGAAAATAAAATAGTAGAAATTAAAACCTCTGGGAAAATTCCCTAGAAAGTAGAGCAAAAAGACAGAGATGAAAAATAGGAGGAAAAAAATAGAAGACTAGTCAAAAGGCTCACCATCTGATTTTTAGGATTTCTAGAGATATCAGAGAAAAGAGGTAAAAAAAAATTATGCTTAAAAAAAAAAGAGAAGAACTTCCAGAATTGAAGGGCATGAGTTCATTATTATAAAGGCCCATTACTGTGAAATTTTAAAACATTAGACACAGAGGGGATAGACAGTCCTAACAGCATCAGGTCCAATATATTGAGATAAGAATCAGAATGGCATTTCATTTTCTACAGCAACACTGAAAACTGGCAGATAATGTAGCATTGCTTTCAAAATTCTAAGTGAAAATGATTCCAAAACACAATCATCAGTAAGATAGAATGGAGACATTTTCCAGAAACATAAGGTATCAAAAAAAATTTTTTTTATTTTAGAGTCAGAGTCTCACTTTGTCGCCCTCAGTAGAGTGCCATGGCATCACAACTCACTGCAACCTCCAGCTCTTGGGCTTAGCTGATTCTCTTGCCTCAGCCTTCAGAGTAGCTGGGACTACAGGCGCTCACCACAGCGTTTAGCTATTTTTTTGTTGCTGTTTGGCTGGGGCCGGGTTCGAAGCCTCCACCTTCAGCATCCTACTCACTGAGCCACAGGCGCTGCCCAGGAGACAGATTCTTACTCAGTCATCCTGAGTAGAGTTGCTGTGGTTTTATCATAGCTCACAGCAACCTCAATCTCTTGGGTTCAAGCAATCCTCCTGTCTCACCCTCTTGAGTAGTTGGGACTACAGGCAGCCACCACAATGCCCTGCTAGTTTTTCTATTTTTAGTAGAAATGAGGTCTCACTCTTGTTCAGGCTGGTCTCAAACTCCTGAGCTCAAACAATCCACCTCACTTGGCCTCACAGAATGCTAGGGTTATAGATGTGAGTCACCACGTACCGCTGGACCCCAATTTTTAATTTAACAAAAATTATATTAGGAGCATGTGGGAATGAGAAAGCTGTGTGTGACGAGGGCTAAATACTCACCTTTCAGAGTAGAAAGTCAGCAGATAATACTCAAAATAGAAAATGGAAAAAATAGAAACATGTTATTTAGAGGCAAGGAGGCAAATACCTTAAGAATCAGCTAAAAGAAAGTGGTTCTTTCTGTGTAACAAAAAATGAGGAGGATGGGTTAGCAGATTTTTTTTAAAGCTTCAGAAGAGTACTTGACACTAAACTAGGTGCATACATAACTGATAAAACTCATAGAATAAGGTCAGGCACGGTGGCTCACGCCTGTAATCCCAACACTCTGGGAGGCCGAGGCAGGTGGTTGATCTGAGCTCACAAGTTGAGACCAGCCTGAGCTAGAGGGAGACCCCTTTTCTAAAAATAGCTGGGTGTTATGGCGGGCACCTGTGTCCCAGCTACTTGAGAGGCTGAGGCAAGAGAATCACTTAAGCCCAAGAGTTTGAGGTTGCTGTGAGCTGTGATGCCACAGCACTCTACCAAGGGTGACAAAGCGAGACTCTTCTCAAAAAAAAAAAAAAAAAAAGAATGAGGATTGATATGAAGAACAAGTTATATACTATTTGAAAACTGGCTTGGCACCCATAGCTCAGTGGTTAGGACGCTGGCCACATATACCGCGGCTGGCAGTTCAAACCTGGCCTGGGCTTGCTAACCAACAATAACTGCAACAAAGATATAGCTGGAGGCGGCCCCCATAGCTCAGTGGGTAAGGCCCTGGCCATATACATTGAGGCTGGCAGGTCTTGCTAAACAACAACAACTGCAACAAAAAAAACAGCTGGGGGTGGGTGGCACCTGTGGCTCAAAGGAGTAGGGGGCCAGCACCATATACTGGAGGTGGTAGGTTCAAATCCAGCCATGGCCAGAAAAAAAAAAAAAAACCCAGCTGGGGGAGCCCCCATAGCTCAGTTGGTAGAGCAATGGCTATATACACCAAGGCTAGTGGGATAGAACTTGGCCTGGGCCAGCTAAACAATAGTGACAACTGCAATTAAAAAAAATAGCCTGGAGCTGTGGCAGGTGCCTATAGTCCCGGCTACTTGGAGGCTGAGGCAAGAGAACTGCTTAAGCCCAGGAGTTTGAGGTTGCTGTGGGCTGTGATGTTATGGCACTTTATCAAGGGTAATATAGTGAGACTGTCTCAAAAAAAAAAAGGGGGGGGTGGCATCTGTGGCTCAAAGGAGTAGGGCGCCGGCCCCATATGCCAGAGGTGGCGGGTTCAAACCCAGCTCTGGCCAGAAACTGGAAAAAAAAAAAAAAAAAAAATATATATATATATATATATACACACACACATATGCATGTATATTTGAAAACCTTCATACAAAAGCTATTATGCCATGTGTGTATTCCCTCAGTCCCACCATATGTGTATTGATAAGAAGTTTTGGTTTGTTCATTCATTCAACAAATATTTACAGTGTACTTTCTCTGCTAGGCACTCTTTTAGGCACTTTGAATACATCGCGTGGATGGGAGGAGTGGCAGGTTGTAGTGGGCCTCACTGAGAAGTACTTCTTAAGATTTGACGGAGGTGGCTCGGCGCCTGTGGCTCAAGTGGCTAAGGCGCCAGCCACATACACCTAAGGTGGTGGGTTCGAATCCCCAGCCTGGGCCCACCAAACAACAATGATGGCTGCAACCAAAAAATGGCCGGGCGTTGTGGTGGGCTCCTGTGGTCCCAGCTACTTGGGAGGCTGAGGCAGGAGACTCGCTTGAGCCCAGGAGTTAGAGATTGCTGTGAGCTGCCACGGCACTCTACCCAGGGGGATAGCTTGAGGCTCTGTCTCAAAAAAAAAAAAAAAAAAGGTTTGATGAAGGTGAGGGAACAAAGCAGATATCTGGGGAAATGCGTTCTTGGCAGTGGAAAGAGCTTAAGGAAGGGTCAGCCTGGCAGGAATGGAATGAGGGGGAGAGAAGGGCATTTAGTCTGAGTGAAATGAGGAGCCACCAGAGAATGGTTTGAACACAGGAATTACAGAATTTGAGTTGTTTTAAAAGGATTATTCTAGCTTTTATGTTGAGAATCAATTCTAGATTCTATAGGGACAAACTGTTAGGAGATTTTTTATATGAATTCAGATAAGAGATGATGTTGCTGGTAACAATGACTGTAGTGGTTGGATTTTAGATAGAATCAAAATAGAATCCCTTATGGCAGAGTCAAAAGGATTTCCTAACAGAACAAGTATGGGAGTGTGAGAGAGAGGAATCAAGAATAATTCCAATGCTGGGAGAGAATGTAATTCTCTTTTATTTCCTTCTCTTAAATCATACTAACTTCCTAGTTTACTCTTAGCCAGCTACTTGATTTTTTTGTCCTAGTGAGAATGGAATCAATTCATTTCTAAATGATTTCCAGTCAGTAGAGTGTCAAAAAAACCAATCTACTTGCAACAAGTTAAAAACTAGCTCTTCAACCTGGGTAAATTTTTTTTTTTTTTTTTGAGATAGAGTTTCACTTTGTCGCCCCCTCAGTAGAGTGCCGTGGCACCATAAGCTCACAGCAACCTCAAACTCTTGGGCTCAAGTGATTCTCTTGCCTCAGCCTCCCAAGTAGCTGGGACTATAGCCTGGGCCACAAAGCCTGGCTATTTTTAGAGGCAGGGGTCTTGCTTTTGGTCAGGCTGGCCTCCAACCTGTACCTTGAAGCAATCCACCTGCCTTTGCCTCCCAGAGTGCTGGGATTACAGGCATGAGCAACCTCGCCCAGCCAACCTGAGTAAATTCTAAAAATTTATTTTAAAACACCAGAAGCATCAACCATTCTTGGCTTACCAAACAAAACAACAGAACACACTAAAAGAAGATTCCTTACTTTGTGGGAATATACGGCACCTATATCAATCTTGTATGGATTCATTTTCTGTATCTCCTTTTCCAGATTCTTCTGGTTGCTGAAGGATTGGTAGCGAATGTAAATATCATCTTTCAATGTGAAGGAAAATTCACGGTTTCGAAAGTAATTCTTTATCACTGCAAAATGAGTGTACATTTTAAAGTTAATTTGGTACTTTATTCACCTCAAGGCATTATAATTTTAACCAGTAAGAAGATATTTTTAATGATTCTCTGTGCTACATGATATAAAATAAAAGATAGGACCTAATTCCTAATCTGAAAAGCCTTACCATCCCACATTTGCTAGGAGGAAAGATAGGTAGATTTTTATTTTTTGAGACAGAGTTTCACTCTGTTGCCTGTTCTGGCTAACAGCTAACAGCAATACTCTTGCCTCAGCTTCCCAAGTAGCTGGGACTATAGACCTGCGCCACTACAACCAGCTGGTTTTTCTATTTTTAGTAGAGACAGGGTCTTGCTTTTGCTTACGCTTATCCCCAACACCTGAGCTCAAACAATTCACCCACCATGGCCCCCCAGAATGCTAGGATGACGTGAGTCACTGCGCCCAGCTAGATGCAGAAATATTTCATTACGTAATGCCACCTGTCTCTCCTCACTGGGCACTAATAAATTGAGCTATGAGGAAGCGGGAGACGCTCTTCTGTCAGTGATGCAAATCACATACCTCTGTAGCTTCACGCTACGACCTTGTAAGCCCATTGGCCACTGCTGCAGGTAAAGGGGGCACCACCTAACTTGAACCTGACCACGCAGAGTAGGAGCAGCGGCTGTTTTTTACAGTGTGGCCGCAAGGCTGCTCTTAATATCCTCTATCTATAATGTCCATTTACTCCTCAGAGGTGACGGGAAGGACTTGAGACAGTATGAAGGTGCCGGGCATAATGCCTGGCGCACAGGAGACATTTCATATGGTTATTCTAAGGACACCAACACCACGCAGGACCTCCTCACGATTCGTTCCCGACTCATGCCCCACCCCACAGCCTCCCTCACCTCCTCCGTAGTTAAGCCAACGATAGTACTGAGCGTAGGGAAAGAGCCTCCGGTAATAAATTTTTAGCAGCTCAGGCAGCTCGGCAGGGTCAAACGTCTCCATTGAGCTCGGAGGTTCACCCAGACTGGGCTATCACAAGAACAGGCGGGAACGGAGCAGCCGAGCCTCCACCACTGCGCAGGCGCACGGTCCGTTGTCCGCCGTTTTCCGGGGCCGCCGGGAATCGTAGTTCGCACTCCGTGCGGTCCTGGCTGTGCGAGCCGCGGGGTGGGCGGTCACCTTCCGCTTCTGCTGGCTCTTGTGGGCAGAAGAAGGAGGCCTTGTCCGTTCCAGAAAGAGAATCTTTTCTGGAAATATGAGACCTGTAGCATATTGACTGAGGTTATTAAGATATAAAATGTAAAAAAATGTTCCATGCGAACTTCATGAGTGTTTTAGAAATAACACTAATACTTTTATTTCTTTTTTAATTATTTTGAGACAGAGTCTCACTCTGTTGCCCATCATAGCTCACAGCAACCTCAAACTCCAGAGCTCAAGCGATGCTCCTATCTCAGCCTTCCCAGTAGCTGTGACTACAGGCTCCAGCCACAACTTCCAGCTAGTTTTTATATTTTTAGTAGAGACGGAACTTGCTCTTGCTCAGGCTGGTCTCCAACTCCTGAGCTCAAGCAATCTGTCTGTCTCCGTCTCCCAGGTTGCTAGGATGACAGGCCTGAGCCATCACGCTGGCCCGAAATAACCAATACTTTCAAAGAGATTTTATGAATTCGTTCTTCATAGAATGACTAGGTCCAATTTGTGGAAACAAATGAAGACCAGCCGGATGAGAAAAACTTAGGCTATTTGTGCAGAGCTTACTATAGGAAGATAAACAGACACCATCATTTGTATTTGGTAGACAGAGGAATGGAAAGAAGAGAAGGCTTCAGGTATACCTTACTTGGAGGCTGTCGGCCTGGAGAAGCTGCAGGTGGACTAACTAGAGGAGGTGTTAGTGTTGTATGATTGGTTAGGGAGGCAAGTTGGTTTTCTCCTATTGGACTTAAGTTGGAACTCTGGACAAAATTAGGGAAGCTGTCAGTTATTAAGGTTATTAAGTTATTAAGGTTCTGGCCATTTTGGCCTCATTTTTACAAAAGTTATTATTTTTTGTCCTAGACTATCACTGGGGATAGCAGTCTGACGTCCTATAAGTGTGACTTCTTGGCTTCCTGAGTTGTTTATTATAGATAAGGAAGTTGATTTCCTGGGCAGATTGCTGCAGATTGTGGGTCACTGTTTTGTCTTCATGTATGATATGGCTATCATCTGTTTCTACATTCAGTTTATCAAAAAGAACATGTAGGAATATGAATTAGAGCAGTGGTTCTCAACCTTCCTAATGCTGTGAGCCTTTAATACAGTTCCTGTGGGTCAGAACAGCTGAATTAGAGGAAACCTGTAGAGTTATCATGAACTTTACGAGTAGAAATGGAGCCCGGCTTGGCACCTGTGGCTCAAGTGGCTAAGGCACCAGCCACATACACCTAAGGTGGTGGGTTTGAATCTAGCACAGGCCCAAACAAAAAATAGCCGGGTGTTGTGGTGGGCACCTGTGGTCCCAGCTACTTGGGAGGCTGAGGCAGGAGACTCGCTTGAGCCCAGGAGTTGAAGGTTGCTGTGAGCTGTGATGCCACGGCACTCTACCCATGTGGACAGCTTGAGGCTCTGTCTCAAAAAAAGAAAAAGAAAAAAAAAGAAATGGAGCCCATTTGCTATTTTTTTTTTATTGTTGGGGAATCATTGAGGGTACATAGAGCAAGGTTACACTGCTTGCATTTGTTAGGTAAAGTCCCTCTCATATTTGTGTCTCATCTCCAAGAGATGCCCATTTGCTGTCTTACTGTATAATGATACTTCTCATTGTCATTGTGAACTGCAGTGGGAAGTCTAGTAATCATCAGTAATGAGTCACTTGAAAATCATTTTAAAGAATTTTATTTTTACAATAACAGCAAAGAGAGACTAGAGTCTTTAGTAAGTTATTTTTAGTCTAATCCTGAAAATGATCATAGTTTCCCAACTTCTGTGGTCAAAGTAGTAAAAATGGACTCTGGGCAGATCATACTTATTTGAATATTCCTAGAGATCTGGCTTCCTCCTTAAAACTTAGTTGATTTTTCACAACCGCATGCATCCAATTCCTTGCTGGGAGGGCTTTCCCTATTAACAATAGTAACAGGAGTGCTTGGCATAATGCTGTTTTCTGGAACCATAATCCCTCCAGGATTTTTATTTTATTTTATTTAATTTTTTGAGACAGAGTCTAATCTGGGTAGAGTGCCATGGTGTCACAGCTCATAGCAACCTCAAACTCTTGGGCTTAAGTGATTCTCTTGCCTCAGCCTCCCAAGTAGCTGGGACTACAGGTGGCCACCACAACACTTGGCTATTTTTTGTTGTTGTTGCAGTTGTCATCGTTGTTTTAGCTGGTCTGGGCTGGGTTTGACCTGCAGCCTCTGTGTATGTGGCTGGCGCCCTACCCACTGAGCTATAGGCGCTGCCCACCCCTGGGCTTTTTTTTTTCCCATTAAGATAGAGTCTTATATGTTGCCCTTGGTAGAGTGCTGTGGATGTCACAGCTCACAGCAACCTCATATTCTTGGGCTCAGGCAATTCTCTTGCCTCAGCCTCCCAAGTAGCTGGGACTACAGGTGCTCACCACATCTGGCTATTTTTTTGTTGCAGTTGTCATTGTTGTTTAGCTGGCCTGGGCTGGGTTTGAACCTACCGGCCTCAGTGTATGTGGCTGGCTCAGTAACCACTATGCCACAGAGCCTCAGGCTATCCTCCTGCGTAGAGTGCTGTAGCATCACTTCTCACAGCAACCTTCAACTCCTGGGCTCAAGCAAGTCTCCTGCCTCAGCCTCCCAAGTAGCTGGGACCACAGGCACCTGCCACAATGCCCGGCCATTTTGTGGTTGCAGCCATCATTGTTTGGCAGCCTGGGCTGGATTTGAACTGACAGCTCAGGTGTATGCGGCTGTCACCTTAGCTGCTTGAGCCACAGGCACCGAGCCTACCCCTGCGTTTTTCAACAGAGGTTTCTTAGCTTCATTGTTGCTGGCTTTAGGATCTAACTTTTTGGGGTTCTTTAGAAGTCTCTTATTTAAATTCCAGGACCCCTAAGGAGAGCAGCATCTTAAGAAGCTAAGATACAAAGGGAGAGGATAAAACAAGTTATATTTACTGAGTTCCTGCGATATGTTTACTTTGATCCAAATATTTGTGTCCCCTCCAAAAAATTTGTATGTTGAAACCTAATCACTGATGGTGTTAAGAGGTGGGAGGTGATTAGGTCCATGCCCTCATGAATGGGAGCTTATAAAAGTGGCCCCACAGAGCTACATTCCCCTTCTACCACATTAAGGCACAGCTAGAAGGTGCCACCCAGGAACTAGAAAGTTGTCCCTTACCAGACACTGAATCTGCTGGCACTTTGATCTTGGATTCCCAGCTCCAGAACTGTGAGAAATAATTTTCTTTTTTATAAATCACCTAGTTTGTTGTACTTCATTATAGCAGCCTGAATGGGCTAAGACAATGCTTAATTTACTTAACATTGGTTTTCTTATCCAGAAAAAGGTAATAATAATAAGAGTATAGTAGCTAGTACTTACTGAAAGGTCAAAGACCAAACATAAAAGATTATTTCAAGACACAAGATAAAAGGAAAACAGGATCCAGGCTGTGTGTGCAACCTTGGCCTTTATTCCATACTGGTGTGGGTGAGCTGAGTTTGAGAAGGAAGTGAGCACATGGGCCAAGATGGATGGGGATTTTAAAGGTTAGGAATGTGGGGGGTCAGGACATTCTCCTTCCTGTGTTGGATATCTGTTGGAGGGATAGGGGTTGGCCCATTTACCTTTCCCAAGTGGGACATCTGGTGGGGTAGGGCAGGGGTTGACTCATTCACTTTTCTTAGGTGGGACATCCAGTAGGGGGGTTGATTCTTTTAGGCAGGTCCACCCTATTTGAGTGGGATATGATCTATCACTTACAGGTATACCCAAAAGAATTGCAGGTTTACTTCTCGGCTACTACAGTAAAGTGAATATTATAATAAAACAAGTCGGCTCAGTGCCTGTGGCTCAGGTGGCTAAGGTGCCAGCCACATAAACCTAAGGCGGCGGGTTCGAATCCAGCCTGGACCTGCCAAAAAACAATGACAGCTGCAACCAAAAAATAGCCGGGTGCTGTGGCGGGTGCCTGTAGTCCCATCTACTTGGGAGGCTGAGGCAGGAGGCTCGCTTGAGCCCAGGAGTTGGAGATTGCTGTGAGCTGTGAAGCCACGGCACTCTACCCAGGGGGATAGCTTGAGGCTCTGTCTCAAAAAACAAACAAACAAAAAAAAAACAAAATAAAACAAGTCATAAGGCTCTGTGCCTGTAGCTCAAGAGGCTAAGTTGCCAGCCACATACACCAGAGCTGGCGGGTTTGAATCCAGCCCGGGCCTGCCAAACAACAATGACAGCTGCAACCAAAAAATAGCCAGGCATTGTGGCAAGTGCCTATAGTTCCAGCTACTTGGGAGGCTGAGTCAAGAGAATGGCTTAAGCCCAGGAGTTGGAGAGTGCTATGACATCTGTGAGCTGTGATGTCACAGCACTCTACTCAGGGCGACAGCTTGAGGCTCTGTCTGGAAAAAAAGCAAAAATAGGTCATAGGGTGGCACCGGTGGCTCAAAGGAGTAGGGCGCTGGCCCCGTGTACTAGCGGTGGCAGGTTCAAACCTGGCCCTGGCCAAAAACTGCAGAAAACAAACAAACAAACAAAAAAAACAAGTCATAAAATTGTTTTGTTTTCCAGTGTATGTGAAAGTTATGTTTACACTATACTATAGTCTACTAAGTGTACAATAGCATTATGTCTAAAAATGTGCATACCTTAATTAAAAACACTTTATTGCTAAAAATGCTAATGATCATCTGAGCCTTCAGGGAGTCATGATCTTTTTGCTGGTAGGAGGATCTTGCCTTGATACTGATGGCTGCTGACTGGTCAAGAGGTTGGTTGCTGAAGGTTGGGGTGACTGTGGCAATTTCTTAAAATAAGAAAGTAGTGAAGTTTGCTACATTAATTGACTATTCTTTTCATAAAAGATTACTTTGTAGCATGTGATGCTGTTTGATATTGTTTTTTTTTTTTTGAGATGGAGCCTCAAGCTGTCCCCCTGGGTAGAGTGCTGTGGCATCACTCATAGCAATCTCCAACTCCTGGGCTCAAGCGAGTCTCCTGCTTCCGCCTCCCAAGTAGCTGGGACCACAGGTGCCCGCCACAACACCCAGCTATTTTTTGGTTGCAGCCGTGATTGTTTTTAGGCGGGCCCGGGCTGGATTCAAACCTGCCACCTTAGGTATATGTGGCTGGCACCTTAGCCACTTGAGCTATAGGCGCCAAGCCGATATTGTTTTTTTTTTTTGAGACAGAGTCCCGCATTGTCACCCTCGAATTGTCAAAAGTGCAGTGGGTATCTTATAGCTCCCTGCAACCTCTACTTCCTGCTTCAGCTTCCAAAGAAGTTGGGACTCAGGTGCACACCACCAGCCCCAGGTAATTTCTCTTTTATATATACATATAAAGAGAGAGAGAGAGACAGAGATATATATGTAAAGAGAGAGAGATAGACAGATATATATACATGAAATATACATATATATAAAAATATATAGAAAGGGGTCTTGTTGTTGGTAAGGCTGGTCTTGAACTCCTGACCCCAAGAACCTCCTGCCTTGGCCTTCCAGAGTGCTAGGATTGCAGGTGTGAGTCACCATGCCCAGCCTGTTTGATAGCACTTTACATCAGAAATCTGTTGTTTAGGGCAGCACCTGTGGCTCAGTGAGTAGGGTGCAGGCCCCATATACCAAGGGTGGCGGGTTCAAACCTGGCCCCAGCTGAACTGCTACCAAAAAATAGCCGGGTGTTGTGGCGGGCGCCTGTAGTCCCAGCTACTTGGGAGGCTGAGGCAAGAGAATTGCTTAAGCCCAGGAGTTGGAGGTTGCTGTGAGCTGTGTGACACCATGGCACTCTACTGAGGGCAATAAAAGTAAGACTCTGTCTCTACCCAAAAAAAAAAAAAAAAGAAATCTGTTGTTTAGTGTAGCCACCTTCATTAATGATTTTATTTTATTTTGTTATCATAAAGAGGTAGATCATGTATACATTAATGCATTATGGGGTACAATGTGCTGATTTCATATACAATTTGGAATACTTACATTGTACTGGTCAATATATCCCTCACTTCATTTACTTCATTATTGTGTTAAGACATTTATACTCTATACTTAATAGATCCAACACGTACCCTTGCAATATGCACCATAGTATTTTATTTTATTTTATTTTTTGCAGTTTTTGGCCGGGGCTGGGCTTGAACCCACCACCCCCAGCATATGGGGTCAACGCCCTTCTCCTTTGAGTCACAGGAGCTGCCGTTATTTTATTTTATTTTATTTTTTGCAGTTTTTGGCCAGGGCTGGGTTTGAACCTGCCACCTCTGGCATATAGGGCCAGCACCTTACTCCTTTGAGCCACAGGCGCCGCCCCCTTATTTAATTTTTTTTTTAATTTTTTTTTTTTTTTTTTGCAGTTTTTTGGCTGGAGCTGGGTTTGAACCCGCCACCCTCGGCATATGGGGCCGGCGTCCTACTCCTTAAGCCACAGGCACTGCCCCCTTATTTTATTTTTTAAAGACGGAGTCTCGCATTGTCACCCTCCAAAGAGATGTTTATGTTGCTAACCTTAGACGCAGAGTTCATACTGCTCTAAATGGCTGCCAGTTAGAAATGTATTTTTCCTTGTTAGCCTATTAGAAAGACTGTTCTTTCTCTAGCAGAGGATGGTTCAAAAAGTTTAAGGAAAGAAGTCGCCTCCAAAACATAAAAAGGCAAGGTGAAGCAGCAAGTGCTGATGTACAAGCTGTTGTAGCTGGTTTGATCTTCTATCCAGACCACTAAAACTTGCTCCATATCAGGAATAAGGCTGTTGCATTTTCTTATCGTTCTGTGTTCACTGGAGTAGCACTTTTAATTTCCTTCAATAACTTTTTCTTTACATTCACAAGTTGGCTAAGGGTTTTGCACAATAGACCCTATGTTTCAGCCTATTTAGGCTTTTATATGCCTTCTCACTAAGTTTAATCATACTAGCAGGTAGGTACAGTGGCTCATGCCTGTAATCCTAGCACTCTGGGAGGCTGAGACAGGTGGATTGCTTGAGCTCAGGAATTTGAGACCAGCCTGAGCAAGAGCAAGACCCTATGTCTACTAAAAATAGAAAAACTAGCTGGGCACTGTGGCGGGCACCTGTAGTCCCAGCTATTTGGGAGGCTGAGGCAAGAGGATCACTTGAGCCCAAGAGTTTGAG